CATGAACTGAACTGAAAGTTTACAAGTATTTCAGGATTGTTGTTTTGTGTTGTTGTTCTTTCCTAGTTTTTTCTGTGAATCTCTGTCTTAATCTGATAAAATAAGTTTTAGAAATCATTGAACTGTCAATAGTTATGCTTTTCTCTTTCTATTTATGATTAATTCTTACAACGTTTATATCTGAGGTTATAACAACTGGACCATTTCTACATGCCAGACCGAGTAGTGGCATTCATTTCAAACGTGTTTTTTTTTTGTCAGAGAATAGTTTGTACACGAACCCTTGACGTTAATTGAGTTGGTTCATGTTGTTCTGAAGCTTTTTTTATTTAGTTTTCCTACTCCACTACATGTCTTTTACAGCTACTAGATGAGTGAAAAACTTCTGCCAGTGACTTTTCACGTATTTTATGAGAGGTGCTCACAAAATGTCATGAAAATCTTCAGTTAAAATGTGTGTGCTAGTTTCATTCGGACAATGTGCCTTTTAACCTTCTCAATTGGTCTTGATAAATTAAAAAATTATTATTATTATCAGTTCAATTGTAATTAACTCTTTCTTAAAAAATGCCACCGTGCCAACACGTTTTACGTAACTGTTCTGTTATTAATATATTTGCAAATGTTTTGTCCTTTCTTTGCTTTTATGTAGTTTTGTAATCAGATGAGTTTTATTAATAAGATGATACATATAAAAGTGAGTTTGACATTTTCTTATATTAATTAAAATTATTCCAACTTTTTATTTGTAATTAATCTAAGGAGAAACTATAAAGCGAAACTGATTTAATATATTTTATAATTATCCATAATAAATTACATTTTCTTTAGTTATATAATGCTTTTAAATATCTGCTTTTCAAATCGTAAAAATAAACTTAAGTTATACAAATGTTTATCATACATTGAATTATTAAATCAACAGAAAAATTTGCCAGTCTTAAACTATATACTAAATACCTAATACTGACTTGCACGGTCATAGACTAGGAATAAGGTTGTAGTAGGGTTGTTCAATTAAACAAAAGGGGGGGGGATTTTTATTTCCTGTAAGCCAAATACATCGAAGAAACGTACCAAGGGTATTAAGAATGGGTAATCACACATAAGTTCTCTACATAGTGGCCATGGGTTGGCCGTGCGGTAGAGCTCTGGATTTTAAAACTGTGGTTGCGTTATAAGAGTAACAGTCAATCCATCAGCGTAGCTGATGAGTGGTAGGTTGTTGCTGACTAGCAGTTTCCCTATGGTCAGTAGTTAAAACTAGGGGCGGCGGCAGACAATTTTCGTATTTGCCAAAAATACAATATACAATATCGTGCTATGAATTTGATCATGAAAAACAAAGATGCAATTTACAAATCCATTTGTGTACAGCTGTTTTAAGAAAATTATTTGCCTAAAAGAAATATCCTCAAAGACTCTTCCAGAAAGGATAAAACAAAAAGATAAAGTTATAGGGGTTCCAGTAAGGGATAGGATTGTTTGTTTGTAATTAAGCACAAAGCTACACAATGGGCTATCTGTGCTCTGCCCACCACGAGTATCGAAACCCGGATTCTAGCATTGTAAATCCGCAGACATACCGCTGTGCTACTGGGGGGCTAAGGGATAGGAAGGACTGACTGACGTGAGGCCTGACGTTCATTTTCATGTTTCAGAAGAATGGCCTTTAGCAGCAAACGATTTGTGATCTATTAGCGCTATCATTCGTCGTCTTAAGTTTAGCGTGTAGGAAAGAAAATCCCGATTCTTATTGAACAACCCTAGTATAAGTGTTACAGTTTAGTTTATACATACTATCCAAACTACGGGTGCTTATCAACAAAGAAAAAGTGTCAATTTGGAGCAAGTACAACACAGTTCGATATGATCTCAAGAAATTTAAATTGTTTGTTAAGTTAATTTCCTAAGTTGCTTATAATAAGAGCTAAGCCATTTGAGAGGACCATAAGCTGCAAGCAGAGACATAAGAAATCCAAACATGAATATTTAAAATACAAAGATAAAATATCACATACCAGCTAGATCCTTAAAATAGGTAGAATTTCCGTAAACACGAGGATACAAGAAAAACAAACAAACCTTGTGATAAAATGTATATCATTTGAGTGAACTACGTCTCAAATACACTAGCTTTGTTTACAAGCCCTTATGTGTACGTTATAACGATACTAATTTATTAATAACATGTAAACATAAACTGCAATCCACAGCTAGAGGATGGATGCATGGTTTTGATCTTTGATTGTTTCTCGTACCCATAGCTACAGATGATAAGATGGAATTTTGTCGAAACAAGCCTTACTCAGTGAGACGTGACAAATCCAAAAACAGACTGGGCCTCATATTTTCTTTACCTTTTTTTTTCTTCACACCAAAATTGCACAGTTTCGGTAATAAAAATACAAACATATACCTTCCCTTGCACGACCAGTAAGAATCTACTATTTTGAAAAATAAAGTTCCAATAGGTGGACGTTACGAATTTACTACAGTCTGATAAAATACTCCGTCATTGGTATATTACAAATATACTGTTTATTAATAACTGACCCTAATGAAGACATTACCGAAAAAATACTATATTTATAACTTACCTTTACATAGAGCTCAGGAAGTTAATACTTTTCGATCATATACTAGTATGTAGACACTTTTTCCATTAAGATATTATTGTTGTTGTTTGTAATTAAGCACAAAGCTACAAAAAGGGATATCTGTGCCCTGCCCACCACGGGTATCGAAACCCGGTTTCTAGCAGTAGAAGACCACAGGCATTCTGCTGTGCCACTGGGGAGTACTCTTATAGGGTCGTTATGAAGCTACTACGTTTTTTCAGTAAGATACTTTTACTTTACGTTATGAATTTGTTAAGTTTTTAATAGGATAATTTTATAAAGTTACTACCTTTTTATATAGGATATCTTTCCTTGAAAGGTATCAAACTACTATTTTTCAGTTTGTCCATTATCTCTTCATGATTGTTAAAAAATGTTACTTTGCATACAAATTAAATAGTTAGAGTAGACTAATATGAATAATTAATTTTGGATTAGCTAAATTGGAATTTTGGGGTATTGAATGTATTACTGGTTTACTTTAAACCGATAACAGTATTTTATCTGGACGAAGAATTAAATACTTGTGAAGTTATACTATTGTTACAACGAAATGTAATTTAAAAGGGTTCAATGTATTTAAAAGTGTCATTTTATGAATGAAGGAAAAATATAACGTAATTAATATCTGAGAAAACAAAAATTAAAATCAATTTGATGAAACTGAATGGTAAGTTATTAATCGGTATAACACTTTAGTAAATGTGGCTCTAGAAATTTTATAAGGATGATGATTTTTATGGTAACTCTTCCAAATAATTCCTGGTTAGTAAAATATTAGCCTTAGTTCTCCAAGAAAGTGTAAGTAGAAAACATTCAAGTTTCTGCCAGATATTGGAAAGTTTCAAGTACCAGATGCTAGTATACCATATGCTTTGTGCCAGATGTTGCTCTAGTTTTTACAGGGCCGAGCATGGCTAAGTCGTTAGAGTGTCTGACAGTGAATCCAAGGATCAAAGATTTATATTTCATTGCCGCAAAATCGCTCTACTTACGTGGGGGCGATGGGCGTGTTATAAAAGTGACAGTTAAGGCCCACTATTTGATTAGAGTAGCTCAAGATAACCTTGAGCAGATGTGCGCAAATATCTGAGACAAACAAATAAACAAATTGCTTTAATATCAGATGTAAGTATGTTCTATCTTTAATACTAGATGTTAATCTGTTTTATCTTTAGTATTAGATTTAATACGCCTGATCATTAGTACTTGATGCTCGAAAGTCTCAGCTCAAGTACAAAATGTTAGTATGTCTAATCTCGATTTCCTTTCCCAAATACCAAGTGTAAATGCCTTATCACAGGTACCAGGTTTTAGTATACCTTATCGCGGCTTCAAGAGGTTAATAGGTCTTATCTTAAGTATGAGATGTTAGTAGGTGTTATCTCGAATACCAGATATCAATAATACTTATCTGAAATGTTAGTTATTTGTAGATCTATTTCAACCACGTTTCTCAAATACCAAGTGTTAATACCTTTTCTAAAGTACCATATGTTTTTAAACCTTATCGTGAGTATCAAATGTTAATAAATCTTGTCTCAAGTTCCAGGTTTTAGTCGCAGTTATCTCAAACAATAGCTATCAATAGTATTTATGTAAAATATCAGTTCTCTGAAGATGTTATTAAATGTTATTTCAAGTACAAGATGTTAATATGTGTTATCTAGGGCACAAGCTCTTATTTAGCCGTATCCCAAAAGTTCAAAACTATAGATTGAAAAATTGAACATATAAAACTTTATAACACCATTTTCTTTTTTTGTAGCTGGTTTTCCTTCACCAGAGCCTCAGAAGTTGGTGTTTCTCCTGATTAACGTTTCAGTCTCCTATATTAGCTAATACTCCACTAAGTATCAGTATATGTTTTGTTTCGTTGTTGTTTTTTGCGTGCTAACTTATTTTCACAGAAGTACATTTTCTTTTTTGTAAGGTATTAAAAATGATAATCAGATTAATATTGGATTATTTTTCAAGTATTTTTCTAGATACCCTGATATTAGTGTATTTTATGCTTGCTAAGAAAACGTTATACAAATGCAACAATCTCTGTAAATACTTTCTTTTTATACACTCTCATGCTTCTGCTTTGGAAAATTAATTTTGGCTGTATACGGCATGGATTCAATTTACATTCAATTCTAATCTAGCTCGTGCATTTGTAACTTTAGTACTCGTATTAATAGAAATAACTGTTTTAATTGAATCCTCTAATAACACATAGAATTACTTATGTGCATCTGGAGAAGGTCCTGACTTTCTTCTAATAGCGTATTCTATTTAATCCTATTATTCATGCTTCTGCATTCCATTAGCTTAATTATAACTGGAACGTCTAGTAGTCTTACTCCGCTTTATGTAGATAATGCAAAGGATATTTTGCTTTTTCCACAAAGCTAAAAGATTGCGGATTTTAATCTTGCACATCTTTTGCTGATCGATCATTGTATCAATATATATAAGGATGAACTAGAACTAGTTTTCACTCAAAAGATTATTTTAACACAAAATATACTTTCACTTATACTGAACCATGTCCATAAAAATTATTTACTGTCTCAAATGTCTGATTTATTAGATGTATTAGCCAAATCATTTAAATATAAAAGTTTAGTAAAACTGTAAGAAAGAAGAAAACTCACTGCTAGTTCATGCAGAACGAACACTAAAGTTTACATAGTTTAACAGCTTTTCGTTCTGGCGAAGAGTTGAAATCATTAAGCAAATTATTCATCACATACAACTAAGATAATAAATGACAGTTTTTTTTTCTTCTTAAAGCAAAGCTATACATTGTTTTGGATCTAAACAAGTTTATTTGTTTTGTTATAATTAATGTTTATCACTGAGGTCATACTTGATACGCCCCGGTATCTCTATTCCCAGGAACCAAGTGGGCGTACTTTGATGATATTTTATAATACTTACTCCAATGGTATACGGTTTATAAGGCTTTTCTTCAATACAATATACATTATCAATATAATATAAAATAAATAAATCTAATGTAAAATATTTGTCCGTCGAGTAGCTCAGTGGTAAGTCTGTGTGGGCTTACAACACTAAAAGTCGAGTTTTGATGCACATGGTGAGCACAGCATAGATATTCCGTTGTGTAGCTTTGCGCTTAACACCAAACAAACAAAATAAAATACTTAGTATTTCGTAAAATTTCCAATTCTTCCCTGGTTCCTGCGAACACATAATGCCAGGTTGCGAAAAGGTTAAAAAAGGACTTGAAAGTTCGTTTATTAATTAATAAAAAGTAAGCTATATGACAAAATAACACACTGGAGTCACACTTTTTCAAAAATGAGGGATTAGATGCTAGATCATGAAGCAAACAACAAGTTTTCCTGCTTCATGTAAATAAAGTTATGATCCATTATGTCTTTACAGTAGTTTGATTAATACCCTTGTTATCATGTTTAACACATGTGTATAATAACTTATTTATTTTGCACCCTAATGAAGTTTATTTCATTTGGTTGGTTTATATTTATATTATAATATAAATATTTAGTACTAACGCAAATCTTCTAAGCTGACCGGACCTCATGATATATCATTACTATTATGGTAGAGAATATTAGTTGAGCGATAATACTCAGTTGGTGAATAAATACAATCTAATCTTTCTACGGTTATATTTTAATACATTACAAATCCCTAGTTATACAATTATTACGAAATTACTACTTTTTATTCCCAATCTATATAGTAAGCTTGATTTAATCAGAAGTCAATATATAGCATTACTGATCGTGTGAATAACAACGGACAGCTAAGTTAAATAATTAAATAAATGTAGTCTTTTTGCCCAAGATACGTGTAATTCCTTTTACAAGGGAGTGAAACTAAACTGGTAAAATAAAGAATTAAGGTGGTCCTGCTGTAAGATAATATGTATGACTCCTTTAACAAGAGAGTGAAACTAAACTGGTTAAATAAAGAAGTAAAGTGTTCCTGCTGTACGACAATATGTATGACTCCTTTAACAAGGGAGTGAAACTAAACTGGTTAAATAAAGAAGTAAAGTGGTCCTGCTGTACGATAATATGCATACTCTTATGTCATGTTACTGATGACTACAGCAGGTGACAAGTAGACCCTTAACAGACTTCAGTTTCTAGTAAAGTATAAAGGAACTCAACAGGTAATGAAGTCTAGTTTGAACAGAAGTTTTGCTATTACTGTTTTCTCAGTTAGTCTTATTACAAGAGGCTACTTGCTTATTGTTGTCCCTAAGGTCTGACTCATAAATGAGAGGAAAGACAGTTAGTAACTGCCAAGTCTTGGGCTCTTGTTATCTGATCGAGCAATGGGATTTGTCCATCACTTTATAGCTCACTCATGATCTAAAATACAGTGCGTGAGTTGGCGGAAAATGGTTGTGAACCCGGCCTGTAATCATACGAGTAAACACTACATAACAGTAGCATTATCATTATTCGATAAAGGTTGTTTGACTTTGGTTAAATAATTCACCCTAGTTACCATAGTAGCGTACTCGCAGTTGGTGTAGAAGTTCAGTCTTATCTGTGTGCCCTGGTAGAGAACGACATTTGTAATTTAATGTAAGGTTGTCATTACTCAGAGTACCCTTACCTTTTATGTTTCCATATAGACCCTGTTTGAGTGCAGTTACCAGGTGCTCCTATGATTTCTATGTAATGTATACAAAGCATCAGATATATCTTGTATTTTTTATATTTGGTCTGAAATGAGTGGACAGACAGATAGATTAATAATATTTAGGTTATAAGTTATTAGTATAACTGCTGAAACTATTTATTTATGTATATATATATATCTAATTGTGTGTGTACATATACAGTATACAAACTATACAACATAAACCGTGTGCATATATATATATATATATATATTGTACCTACATATTAATGCACTAGATTAAACTAGTACGTTTTGTGAGATCTTTATAAAATTCCGTGATGCTTATTTATTTCTGTTAGCAACTTACATTTATCGCACTTTGAAATTTATCTGATGACCTACTAAACCCTGATGTGGGAAAGACATTGAACAGGAGCGTCATTTGTTTGTATATTATTTAGGGGCAGAGTTTAGTCTGTTTATATTCAGAAAGGGCAGATCACAAGGACTGGAAGGAAGCTTTGCAGTCCAGTATCCATTCCTGGATGGAAGGACTGAACTTGGAGTATGGTGATCTGGAGAGAACGACTGGACGTAAGGCTGGTTAACTGTTATAAATTTTACCACTCAAATCTTTCTAACTAATATATAATGTATTATATTACCTTATAT